ATTTTACTTTCGAAAATTGTTTTGTTTTTTGTGTTTCGTAGTTAAAAATAAATATATTTTCACTTTTATAGAAGAAAATTTCTAGTTTTTAAAGAAAAAATCTATGAAATATAATTTTTAAAAATATAAGCACAAGATCTGCTTTATTATTATATCTGGTATAATGAAATATTTTGTAGTTAAGCATACATATACATGCAGTACTTTATTGACGTATCCATTACAATGATATATATGCAATATCACCAGAGAATTTCTGTCCCCAGAGCAGATTAAGAACTCTTCTCTAGATTTAGTTCTAGACTTTATTCACAAAGCCCCTTAAAGGCTTTGTTTAATCAATAGTGAAACTGGTACAATAGGACTCTTCTGGCCGCAGTACCGACTGTTGGGCAATTTTCACGTCTACTCTTTATTATTATTATTATTATATGCAATATCATTATTTTATCAGTATATATATATTATCTAATACATGTTATCTACACACTCTTTTATCATTTCTATTACAAATATGTATATATACATGTGTCTGATTGAATTTTATTAACTAATAATAATAATATTAAATATAATAAATTATGTTAATAATTAATATGTTAATTATTATGTTAATAATTAATAAAATACTATGTTATTTCAAATTATGTCTGCTCTATGCTTAATAAATTTTAATTTCCGTTTCTTATGATTTTAATTAATAATTTATTTTTAGCCTAATTCTTATAAGTAAAGCTGAAGCTTTACCAACTCAAATTTAAGTAATTTATAATACAGCCAAAATAATTTTGGGTATATTTAAATACGAGTATCCATCCATTTTTTTTATATAGAAGAATGAAAATCCATTGTATTCTAAAACTTGTTATATGTTTACGTTTACAGTAAAATAATGAAATTCATACAATAATGGTCGATGATATTGCTGCCTTAAACATTGAGTAATAGTCAGGCCCCATTAAAAAGGGAAACTTGTGGTGTCATTGTCAACAATCTGTTAGCATAATCTATCGTAAAGTTCTCAAAGTCATTAAAAAGATTTATGCCATTTACTTCGGTATTCATTTTTATAAGCTTTCACTTTTTGGCTTTTCTTTATTTTTGTTTTTTTTTTTGTCTTACTCTACTTTAACCTTTTCACTTATAGGCTCTACTGGACGATTATTAAAGTTGCCATTTTTACACAAATATTTCTTTTTGTGTATATTTTATTTTTTGTTGTTTGCCGCCTTATGGTATTATTCCTGTTTACCTCCTCTGATTCAACATACACGCAGTAACGCATTTCTTTCACTTTGTGCCCTGAACCGGTGTCGATTGCAAGCCCATTCAAAGTGATAAACGGTCGCATTGACAACCACACACATTGTCAACAAATTAATCAATGTTTATTTGCTAAGTATGTTTGCCTTTAGGATATCGAGTATATCATCTGCTCCATAGGTTTGTGTGCTCCACTATACTCAATACCAGTGTAAGCGTATATTTATGTAACAAATCGCGTTAATAGAGTGGATGATATGCCTCAGGTGGTTTTGGATTGCATACCAGCACTTAAGGGGTTCTTTACGTGAATGACGTTTTTGTTTAAGAAAAATAAACCAAAAATAAATTCAACCATTGTGCAAAATGTTAGTAATAATTTTTACGAATATGTTTTACTTTAGCTTTTATAATAAAACAAATATATACTTATAGTTTATACATACATAAAATATACTTTACTCTAATACTTATAATAAAAAGGTAAACTTAATATGAACTCATATATTAGGCAACAACTTATTTTATTAAAAACTAGTAACTTTTACTAGTAAATGATGAGATAATACACATTTTATGTATAATAGTACAATAATTCCTGTTTGCGATAAGTCTTAATCTAGTAGGAAATGTTCAGCCCCTTCTATAATTTCAACATCAGATCTCATTTGTTGCTAAAACCAGTTCTATTTGGTTTCAACTTAAAATCCAAACAATTGCAATTTTATTCGTTTAAATATTAAATCTTAAAATATGTGTTAGTCTTTTCTATTGCCATCGTCGTTACATCCAAACAATACTTTTGCATATTTAGTATATAGTATATAAACTATACTTAATAACTAACAAATTAAGAAGAATATAGTAACTAACATTAGGAACTGCTCTACTAAATTGAAACTTAAAAGCAAAATAAAACTCAAAATAAAATATCTACTAAATATATTGTATATATATGATATTATTGAGATTCATTTGAACCTTTTCTTGTATAATTTAATAATCGACACAAATCATTTGACAAGAATGCAGAGTTCTTGCTTCGTTGAAAGGTTCTATCACTGATATTTATTTCTTATTGAATCCACAGTTGCTTGATAAGTAAGTATTAATAATGAAATGTATATTTAACTATTGAAGTAAAGAGGTTTTCGAACAGAAGTGAAACAACAACAAAAATTTATTTTTTAAATTATTTTTAATTAATTGAATTTTTGGCTGAGCATACAGCTGTTTTGAGTATTGCCAAATATTCATCATCAGTGGTCTTGGAAATAATTCTTGTATTTCATTATTCGTAAATAATTATTTTTGAGACCGCAAGTACCAGGAATCGAACTCGGGTCCTGCCAAATGTGATGCTCAGAATCAGCGCACCTTAACCAACTGATCCAAAGCCGTACTTGACTTTTTATGTTCGCATATTTTTGCTATGAAAGGTTTTATTAGCAATTTTACTTGCTGTATTTATATATTAGAACGAAATCATAAACAAGCTGTAGAATAATTGAATTAATTAATTAATTATATTTTATTTTTAATTGTTAAATTTCAAAACTATTCTATTCGTAGAGGCATTATTATTGAAGTAATCAATAATAAGTAATTATGTATACCTTAAGAAACAAAACCAATAACCTTTTCTAGTGATAGAAACATTTTAACATTTTTGGCAGGAAGTTAACTAAGAGAAATAAAAGGTTTTGATAACTCTATCATTTCCGGATTATTGCGTTGTATCTATGTTTTATCTATAGTTAAAAATTGAGACAGAAATATTTTTAAATTAAACTGATGTATATAGTATTAAAATAGTAACTATGCGTATTCGTTTTTAACAAAATGTATGTAAGCATGGTATACATCTCAGTAATACTGAAATAATCTTACAAAAGGTTAGGAAAGCATTTATTTGAGATTTTTACTATATTAGCAACCTCACGCCCCTTTCGATGACTGAGATCATCCATAACTATATCATTGACTTTAGTATTCCTTATACCTTATACCTATTCCGAACAGAATTTCTAGTGCTTATGCAACTCTACTAAAACTCAGTAAATTAATTAGATAACATCTTATATAGTAGAGCAGAGTCTTCTTAATAGCAAAGAAATAATCTAGAATACAACTTCAAACCATGACTGATTTTTAAAAAAGAATAACGCAATTATTTGTAGTAGGTAGTTTTGTTATTACCAACCTTTCATATAATAGTTATATTTCCTTAACAATTTTGAAATATTTTTTGAACTACCTTCTCCTCAAAAAGTATCCGCATTTTGTTGTTTGTTAACTACTCTTTAAGTAATAGACCTTTTTCGTAATGTTGGAACATCCCTTCTTGGCATATGGTACAAATTTGAGCGCCATCTGTCAATTAGTTTGTTTACGGTAGCTGTTAATGTGAGATTACCTCAAGTGCATTTAGCGATTTTTACTATGGAAAATTTTTGTTGTACGCGATTTTTTGACCAAACATGGCACCACTGTCATCGCTCAGGCACCATATTCGCCAGATCTGGTGCTTTGCGACTTTTTCCTGTTCCCGAAACTCAAATTGCCCCTTCGCCGAAGGAACTAAAAGCCATACCTGCACGAGCCTACGAAAAGTGTGTGGAAGATTGGGTTAAGCGTTGGCATATGTGTATCGCTTCAGAAGGAATATATTTTGAAGGAGATAAAATAAATTTTGAATAAAATTTAAATCTGTGTCTGTTATTTACAATACTTTTTGATACTTTTTGAGCTGGAGGTATCTTAGTTCCTTAGACAGATACTTGTGTTGAAGTACATGTATACATACTTAGTATCATATAAAGTATTAGTGGTTCGAATTAAATGCCTAATATTCATTTAAGAAAATATTGCGGCTACCACTGCATGGACAAACAAATATTAACTTATAGTACGTTAATTAAATAGTATTTATTTACTATTTTCCTTAAAAATGTAAATTGAACCTACCATGTAAAACTTCATGAACAATTTCGATATCAATTACTAGTTATCAATCGATTATAGTATTATATGGCGAATACTGTTCTTCTTTTTATAATTATTTATAATATATTAATATAATATAATACAATTATAATTCTTATGATTTTAATTAATAATGCTCAATAGGAATTAATTTAATTGACTAATCATTTGCATTGGGTATAATAGAGTATTTAATAGAATCAATAATGTTGAAATTGGATACAAGCAGAAGTGATTATTTTGAGTAAAGAAAATTTATTGATGTTGTTAAAGGATTTATTTACCAAAGGGGTAAAAACGCAATTTCTAATTAAGTTGTTATAAAACGGATTTAGTTAATTTACAGACAAATTTAGTAAATCCATTTACTAAATAGAATGCTTTGATTTCAAGGAATATACACAAGAGAGTTGATAGAGTATATACTTGTAAAAAAAGATTTCGTTTTACAACAAAGAAATATGTTAATGACTAGAATATCAGATATCAAAATGAATTTATAGTTTTAGTTTGTTTCTTTATATATTAAAAAATGTTAATTAACACTTTCTTCATTAGTATTAAAATATTGTATTATCATTCAAAGAACATAAGCAGTACAAACAAGTAAAATATATTAGGTATTACTTAAGTTTCCATTGCAATAAAATTTTGATCAAGTAGCATTGATTTTCTAATGTTACTTTGAATTTTTGAATGTCACAATAATCAATTAATTAATTTGTATTCAAAATAAAAATTACTTTTTGTTTTTTAACACGTCAGCAAAACTTAGCTTTCGAAAAATATTTTTTTTAAATTCATCGAATAATCAAGCCCTTCAGAACTATTGTTATTCGTAGCCCGTTACACGATCCCCTAAGTCTTGCCAGTACTCTACGTTATGAATACCCGACAGCAAGCTAAGAGAACCCAGAGTAAGTTGTGTATATAAATATACCATATTTATATGAAACATGTACCACTTATATCATTTAACTACCAAACATCCAATAGAATAATGAATCTATATTAGGGGTTCATACAGCCCGATTAGTCTTGCGTTTAAGCAATTCTAATACACTCAAATTCAAACATTTTGATCAAACACTTTAAATGTTCGTAGATGTTCGATTTGATCGATGAGTTCACAACCAATACACACATGCTCGAAGCTTCGGATAGCTGAAAATAAATTTATAGCTTTAACCTATACGAATTAGTGACCATATATCAGGATATTTCAGATAAAAACAAATTTAGATATTTATATTTAGTTATAGTTTGTCTATCTATGCAACTTGCTGATTAACCATACGACTGTCTAAATGTTTTATATTAAATCAGTTTCTTTTTCTTTACAAGTTTTCGAAAAATAATTTTTTTAAATTCATCAAATAATCAACCTCGTCAGTACTATAACTATTCGAAGCCCTTTACACGAATATCTAAGTCTTTCCAGTACTTAGTGCCTACTTTTATCATTAACGTCATGTTTTCATCTTTTAAATATGGTCGTATATGTATCTTCTTTCTCGTTAAATTGGTACTAAAAATTTTACTTTGTGATATATCATCCTGCATAATATGCATAATATGTTCAGCTACATTCAAACTACGTGATTTATAGAATTTAGTAACAGTTTTTTGATTTAATTTCTTGTACTTCATATTACCGGTAAGTTTCTGGTAGTATCTTACCCGACATACTTCAAGCAATTTTTTTCTTTTCTTTTAATACAGTTTTGTTCTTATAGGTTTTCATAAACTAAAATAATAATTATATTCCGTTTATATTCTATAACCTAATGGAACTTTAGATCTCATAAAACAGCACACCCAAAGTTGAACTATCCGAAATTTCAAAGTTGAACTGTCAAATTGAAATGTGTTAAATGTGATTTCTTGTTTTACTTTGAGAAATGTACTTTGATGCTTCAGTAATCTATTTGATTCTTATTTTCATCAACAATTTTGGGAAATGTTATAACATATAGTTTTATTGGTTGTTATTAACGTAAAGTCATTTCAATATTTATATCCGATAACTATCATATCGTACAAACCAAGGAATGAAACAAGATTCGTCCTCATTAACAATGTAGGACAAAGAGGACGATCAATATAGGACGTTCAAATTTCGACACTATTTCCAATACGTATTTTAATAAAAAATACCTTTATTTGTTATTTTATTTCCACTAACTTTGAAAACTAAGTTTCATTACTTCGGTTATAATGTCATCAATATAATCTAGAACAATTCCTGTTCATGTATAAGAAATGTACGGACTCCTAGTAAGATATTAAAATATCTATTATTAACACTTTATTATTATATATTTGAAGAATAACTATTAAAAATTTCGTTCTTATTTTAGCACATTACGAGCATGAGAGCGATGAGGTAATTTATGTAAAAACATATAAATTAGATCAAAATGATAAGCGCAATTGGCCGCAATGCAAAATATGTTATGAGGAACTAAAAAACCAACCCACTGCAACACCTTGTGGACACGTTTTCTGTAAGAGTTGTATTAAGAGATCCATGTTGTATTCTAAAGTGTGTCCCTTATGTAGGGCTAGTGTAACCAATGAATCATTGCTTGAAATTTATTTATAAATTTTTTGTTCTCTTTTTCTGTATTTTATTATTTTGTTTCTGATTTATATATTTTTATACAAAAAGATTAAAAAAAAAATATTTAAAAATTCTTTACATTAATTTATTTACTGATTACTATTTATTAATAGTTAATAAAGTTTTATTTCTATGACTCCGGATATATATATATGTTGTTTTTAAAAAAGTTGGCTACATGTTTTTCGTAGCAAAAAGTTTCTATAACGTTTCTTATAACACTATGCCTAAGCTAATAATAACTAAACGATACTCATACAGCTATAATGCAAGAGATCGTTGATATTCCAACAAGTACTGATTATTTCATATCAACCATTTGATTTAAACTTTGTACTATTGAAATAAGGTTAAATGAGAAGTGATGTACCTCTACACGAATTGTTTAAAACATGAAAGTATAGCCATGTCTGTCACGGATTGCTTTTCACGGATCGTTTAGCTACCATCATATCAATTACAAGTGAAGATACGAAACCTTCATATCTCTCATAAGCTTCATGATTATTCAGTAATTGATCTAAGATCTGCGTACCTCCCCGTGCGGACACTGATTACTCTAAGATTAGATAGTGGTAAGTAGGATAGGATGTCAATTTTCGCATATAACTTCAGGGCTCTGTCCCTTATTTATTTTTTGATCGGGTCTACTCTAAGGTCTCTTAGCATGTCGTTTGTGTGGATGTACCAAGGCACTTTGAAGAGTCTTCGGAGAGCCTGACTTTGAGCGACTTGTAGCTTTTGTATAGTAGAGTCGGCAGCTTTGCTATACGCGACGCACCCATAAAGTAATGCTGATCTAATTATCTGGCTATAGATCAGTTTTCTGTTCTTTACGCTAAGGTTGTTGTATTTGAAAAGTGGTTGTAAGCATTGCAGTAGTTTAGCTCAACTGCTTCTTTTGACTAGTATATGCTTATGCCAAGTGAATCGCTTATCAAACGTTATACCTAAATATTTAATGCTATACTTCTCTTAGAACCGTCAGAATGAACGAATGGATAAAAATAGTGAACATATAACGTAACCTCTCTGGCAAAATCAACAAAGGTTCACACAATTGATTAGTATAATCTCTAACTTTTGCTATTAAAATCAAATGGTTGAGAAAGGGTATGAAACCATCATAACACCCTGAACTACATCAATCCAAATTCCTGATCATTTCACTGAAAAATACAAAGTGTAAACAAGTAAATGCAAACTACGCAAATGATGTTAGCAGAGACTCTAAGATATATAATATAGTACATCACAGTTGTACTCAAAAATTTACGATATTGTATATGGATTGTATGAACATATATACATAAAAAGTAAAGAAAAGTATTAAAAATCATAGACACTAGCTTCACAATAGCATTATAGGTTTTTAGGAATTTCTAAATTTTTGTTTTAATGAAGAGCAATAAAAATCTTCCTTGATTTATATTTCAGGAAATATATTTGAAATCAAAAGAATTAACAATTTAAAGTAAAAAAAAATGAATTTATATTTTATATTTTTTTTTCAGTTACAATTATTTTGTTTTCAATTTATTTTTCTTTTTTTTAGAACCTTTTTAATATATTTTTATTTAATTTTGTGAAGCATTTTTTATTTAATGTTACTATTTACCAAACAACAAGTCAACTCCTTATAATTTAGCAAAATTAATGGATATGATAATATTTTTAAAGGTTTCAGTACACAAAAACTGAAAGGTTTTTAAGACAATCCAACTACTAAACACTTCACCCAACAAACAAATAAATTAGTGATTCCAGATTGCAATAAAATGGAACCTGAGAGTAAGAGTGAAAATTTTGTCTTTCAACCTGTATTGAGTTTTGAAAAAACTGTATATTTATATATACAATTACAAGCTATTGAAAATTTTCCAGATGTGGAAGGCAGAGTTTTTATACGCCTTACACATCCCACATGTAATATTGAGAGACATCTTGATATAGGTGAAACTGATATAGATCTCCGAACAGATATTAACGGTGTACTGAAACCATCCTTCAGCATAAATATTGAAAGTGATGATATTGATGAACTTAACAATATTAGTGATAATCCACTAAGTATAACTCTTTATCATACAATAACTAAACATCAAAACAGTGTAAACAACATGGATAATGAAGAATCAGATGAAAATGTTGAAGACATGTCATCAGAAAAAGAAGAGACCATAGCTGTTGCATTAGGATATATCGATTTGTTAAAATTTTATCAAAGAAGTCGTCCACAAGCTAACGTCGTCACATATCTGTATCCAGTGAGGAAGGATTTTGCTCCAGCAGAAAATGTCATTTGCAAGACCACATGGTACATAAGCGCATTAATGCCATTATTGCAATTTGCAAATATTTCTAATATTGCGTTCATATGTTTAGAGTCAATTTATAATCCGCCATCGGATATAATGGATATGTATGAAAATTTGGAAATGGCTTTAATCGTAACGTCTACAAATGAAAACGAGACGATAAGACAAATACTCTGCACATTTAAATTATTTAAAAAACAAATAATAGCTCAACAATGTGTACATCAAAAATGGGAAAATATGAAAAATCCGCTTTTGAATAATACTGAGAGCTTATGTACATATATAGGATCCAAAATAATTATAAGTACTATTTTTCAAAATTTGATATGGGAAGAAAATACTATTTATAACCCAGCAGATATAAATATTGAAGAAGATTACGCTTTGATTTGCAATTCAGTACATCGCTTTGCTTTAACAACGGAAATTCACAGAACTGTAGAAAATCTAATTGGAAGTGATAAGCACACACTATTGGTTGAATTATACAAAAGTGAAGAACCAGAAACTGTCTTCATGCAGGGAGTACTGGATTTATCTATATTACTTTATCCAAATGTAAATGTTGGCAGATTCTCTATGAAACTTAACCGAGTACAGATGGTACGAAGATCTAAAAGAAGAGGCACACAGTCAATAAACAAAACATTTTCTAAAAAAACAGTGGAAGATGTTAACAAACTCACATTTGCAATCATAGCAGTTTCATTTCTGACACCCATTACGGAATTATCCGATGAAATTGTAGAATATACCGAATCTGAAATCTCAAAATTAAATCTAACACCTAACAGTATCATTGATTACGATGTTGTACCACCACCGACACCACCAGATATTTCGCCAAATGTACTTTACAGGACTTTAGATGGCTTTATTAGCTCCTTTACCGAATGTGTTGTTAGGAAAAAAAAACCCGACTGTGGCTTTGTCGTAGAAACCTTAAATGATATTATTACAGCAATAGTTTATGCTCATTCAAAACGTAACGTACCGGAAGATTATATTGAACTTAATGAGCTCTTAGCTGTCACTTATAACGATTTGGAATTTCGAATCAATGAAAGAGTAAAAAATTTCTTAGAAACAGATTTGTTAAGCAAACTTTCCTATAAAAGCAATGAAACAATGGTCTTTGAGCTAATGAGTTGTATGAAGTACATGTATGAAGCTGGTAATGAGCAATTTGGTAATCAATTGTATAATAAACTTCAAAATGAGCAAAGTAATAATTTATATTATCAATTTTTCATGTTTTTGTACAACTTAGAAAAAAGGAAATATTTAGAAGTTCAAACATATTTGTCTAAACCACAAGAACAGCGACTTTTTGGTACCGAGTACTTCGAAGATTTAATACAAATTTATATAAATTATATTGAGTCTCTACAAAAAACTAAAATTAATCAAGCAATTGGAGAACTTATTAAAGAACTAAGAAATTTTGCAAATAAAAATTACAAAGATATTACTGTGTGGATACTTTTGTATTGTTTATATTATAAATCGTATTATAAACCTGGAATCTCGTATGCCAGGTGGAAATTTATGTGTCTTTATGACACAATATGTACGGAGTTACCTGAAATACCTATAAGTCTTTGGCAAATATATAACAATCATGAATTAACTTTTAAAAGTAAAAGATGCAAAAATTTTTACAGAACAATGAAATTTCTTTTGCAATTAGGGCTATACAAATTCGGGGAGTTAATATTTTTGCATTTGACTGACCAATTGCCAGCTATTGAAGATTATATTACGATGATTACATTTACTTTAATTTCTGGAGAAAGTAACTCAAAATTTAAAATAAGAAATTTTGATGGATATCGAAGTAATACTCCTAGACTAGCACTTATATTGGAACAACTAAATGGCTGTTTGGAAGATTGTCGAGGTGATTCAGAAGCAGCACAAAATTATTATCAACTTATACTCAGGAATGAAGATAAATCTCTGAGCTATGAAGATGTCCAATTGAGTTTACTACGTTATGCATTCGCTGCTTACGCCAAAGCCTCATTTGAAAGTGCAATTGAATCTTTAAAACTATTTATTATAACAGACAAAGATAATGTAATTATAAACTTGTTCATAGGGAAGGCATTTTATAAAATGAAACAATTTGAAGAAGCATTTGAATATCTTAAAAAAAGTACATTTCAAGGCATACATATGCCGGAGATTTGGGTACTTTTAGCATTAGTTAGTTTGCAATTGGGGAATAACTACAGTGCACTTGAATGCTGGAAATATGCAAATATTAAACCTGATACTCAATTTAGTGAAGAAATTTATGAAGAATTGAAAAATATTGATGTCAGGAAAGTAAGTTTACAAGTAAAACGACCAAATTCACATATTCCATGTGTTAAAACAAAATTTAAAAAGCTCAAACGAAATAAAGACTTCTAATATTTCTAGACAATCAAAAAAAATATTGTTGTTTGAATTCAAAATAATTTAAGTCAAAAAAAAAAAAATTATGTTATAAATCGAGGTGCATAAAATTTGAGCACAAACCAGTTAAGATATGTACCTATTTAAATATTTCTCTCAAATTTCGTTGCTAATTACCAACACCACTGATTTCAATACTAATTAAGCAAAACAATCTAATGTGACGGTTCTAGTGGTGTCATTTTTAATCTCATAAACTTATATAAAAGTTATTTTTACTTTGGGTTTTACAAAACTTCTCTAAACGAATCCCATTTAAATTGGATTCCATGTAAAAATGTATTTTTACAAATTTCTATACTATAATCTTTAATATCAACAAAAAAACATTCGTAACGTAAGAAATAATAAAATGATAAATAATTATAAAAAGTGCAGAGGTTAATAATAGAACATATTTAATTATTATAAAAAAAGTTACGGTTATTGAAAGCATGGTATCATCCTATTATCATATTATTTTCTATAATATCTTTTCTTATACATAGCAAACACTTAACATTTACTAACTTGCAGTAGTGATATCGTAAAAAACAACTTATTAAACCCAAAATACTTTATAGCTATATTCTTATACCAATGCTGCTCCACCCTCCTTTTAAAAACTTCGTATCTATCTGTTTTTGTCATGGGGAGCGTAATACTCAATGAACGTTTAGTAAGAGTATTTATGCTGGCACCATTGAATAATTACCCCGTGCAATGCAATCCTTCTTATTTATCAGAATATTGCACTGAAACATATGCATATACATCAGAAATGAAGATATACACAGTCTAGAGAATCCAGAGTGTGCAAAAGTATCTAGAACTTCATACACTTTATTGGTATTTGATAAAATTATAAAATGATAAACATTTCAACTTTTTTACTGCCTTTTTTTTTGTTTATATTGAATAACTGAGTTCCTAGTTCAACACTCGAATATTATATTAATGCATAGAGTCCAGAGTTTTTTTAGCGTTATTATCTGCCGTTAAGGCTTAATAATACCACGGTGATTTTGGAATTTCAGAAAACTACGCCGGTACCAATTGATATAGTTTGGATATAGTTTTCCCATTGAGAGGAAGCCAGGTTTATTTAGCACCTCTGCTGTTCTTTGACGCGCACCACTAGGTTGCAAGAATGCGCCTCTACATCGTATGAAAACAATGAATACAGCTATTCTACCCACTTTTTGGTTTTAACCACAGCCTTTCATAGGGGCCAACCTCAATTGGTCAGCATAGTCGCAGCTATGAACCCTGATCCTCGTGATGCCAAACTTACACCTTCAGTCGATCGGGTGCCACAACTAAAAGTCACTACCATTTGTGCTCTAGTATCGGGTACTTGGTACAGCATCGGGTGGAATCTTAGTCGCTTCTACGACAGACATTTCTTACCGATCGGTGGGATCTTTTTAAATAACAACAAGAAAATTTCAAAAACAGCATCGCCTAAAATGTTTGTTGTAATATTTTTTATTTTAATAATTCTTTTCGCGCAGATGTCTCAAATTTTTAATGTTGTGACGAGTTAAGTATGTCAGTAAGAAAAAATTGTGAGTAATTTGAAATAATATATATATTAATTTATCAAACAAGAAATACTTTCAAATACATAAAATTTTAAATGCAGTTTAGTAAGTAAAACAGAATTTTTCATCAAATATCAACAAAACTATTAGAATTGATGTCGCTAACGTGATAATTTCGTAAAAATATGTGAACATAAAATTTTACCAAATTAATGAATAAGTATTTAAGTCTGAGAATTGTGATAGAAGTATATTATTAAAATCGTTAAATTGCGAATCTTCAAAGAAATTTTTCCTTTCTCTACGCAGTCTTCTTCACAAGTATTATATCAATTTTTCTAGTTCCTTTTAAGAAAAAGAAATATTTGATAGAAAAGTCTATTCCTATAAAAGTCACACAAATTTATAGTCAAAATTTCTGCTATAGAATAACGTTTTCAATTAATCTTGTTATTGATTTGAATTAAAATGTTATTGATTTTATCATACAAAGTTTATATTATTTTTTCATAAAATTAAATTTTAAAAAATTCTTTAATTGACTTTTAGATTCTACCAATATAGCTTTCTTATGCCACAATAGACATGTTTTTAATTACCAAAAACTGGACTAAGTGTATGTATACCAGAAACACCAGAAAAATTTTAACTTATTTACTATAGAGTTGATAGTAGGAAATAATAAATAGTAAATGCTATTTTTTGCTCTAAGAAACAACCAACGAATCTATAGTTTATTTGCTGCAGTAGTTTAAATTCTTGGCCACAGAAATCAACAAGCAACATATATTCTTTTACATACATTGACAAATGCAATGTAAATTCTATAGACATTTATGATCTCAGCTGTTATATGCGTAAACAGTCTGCCACTCCTGTCTGCTTGAATTACGATATTACAGTAAAGAAAACTCGCTAACCAATATGTGAAACGATGGTATGATATGTATAGGAGACGTTGTTGTGAATGAGTATATGAGTTTAATGACGTTCTTATTTTCACAGTTGCCTACATATATAAGTTATCCTATTTATATGCGCATTAGTACCCAATAGGAGGGGGTGCATGTAAATGAGTAAGTGCACATTCTGGGCCACGTCTAAAGAACTTAACGTAAACATAATTTATGGGGTACTAGAGTAGCTAAAGCAGCGAACATAATTTAGACAGCATAAAATATTAAGAGATTGCACTGTGATAGCTGAGTGCCTGTTGTACGTACCAGTTCTTTGAGCCTATGTGCATAGCATGGCTTCAAAATAATTAAATGTTGTTCATACCTAAAGTGGAATAAGATAATTAATATTGCATAAAAAAGTGATATCTATATATATATATATATTTTTTTTTTTTTATTAAAATATATAAAATTAAATTATTCTTCATTTATATATTTCAATTTCTATATAAAATATCTTGCATAATTTCAGTTAAAGCGAATTTATGCATACTCGTACATTACTTCAAACTAAGTTAAACACCATCCATATCTTTAATGTAGTTTTTACATAAATGAATCCATATGAAACTGCAATTCGCATAAACACACAATTTAAAATAATATTTTCAACGTGTTGGCAATTAATTAAGCAGCCGGAAAATTATCATACACGGCATTGCACATTTAAGTTCGTGTACGAGTAAAGAGGTTTTTAGCGTTGCTTGTGCGCTTAGCTCCAGGGTATAAATATATGCGGTTCCGGCATATATTCCACATAGACGTTCACGTTTTCATGCATATAAAATTTTTGAGATTTTTCACGTACAATTGTGAAAAATGTTTAAGTGCAAATGTGGCGCCATGAAACTAACTAACAAAAAAATCCAACAAAAAATTAAGTTCAGCTTAACACACATAAAAATGCCGCTTGAGTTCTGAAATCGTTATTACCAAATATGATTTGGGTCAAATGCCGACTGTAAACTTTTGATTGGTATCAGTGCTAACGTCGATGGCATCAGCAAAAATACATTAATTAAATTTTTTGCCATAAATCATAGATACTTGTGTTAAAAAAAAAATCGTCAATTTTGCATATGATATATTCAGGAGGAAATTCGAAAACAGACAAAAAATACTAATTTTTTTCGCAACAATTGAGTTAGTTTTTGTTTTTGTTGTTGTTTTTGTTTTTGCATAACATTTGAAACTTTTTTATATAAGAAAACTTATAAAAGTTTTTGATTTATAAGCAACATATTTTTAAAATTTTGCTAAACAGCAATAACACAAAAATGCAACCAAAAAAAAAATTTATCGCCAGAGCACTAAAAACGTAACAAAACAAAACTGATAAATCATAATTTTATCTTTGCCACCCAAACTTCCGTCAATGAAATTTATTTATATATTTTTTTTAGTTTAATGTTATATCACTTTTTAGAGTTCGGTATTTTATTTTATATATTTTTCAAATAAGTAAGGTTCAATATAACTAAACAAATAAATAAATCAACTTTTGCTGCATACTACGAGTACTAAGGTAAGCAAGAAACATTCTAAGTTGTTCATTTCATGTTTGATTTTGAGATAGTTTAGGACAAGTTACCTATACAGGATAAGTAAAAATAGGATTTTATTTATAGTATAAATAAAAAATAGAAAGTTACTTTATGCGCAAGTAATTAGACCAGCACTACTGTACGGATGTGTTACATATAGCAAAGCCTCAAATACTACCTTAAAGCAATTACAGATAGCTCAAAACCTGGCTTTAAGAAGACTGTTTAAGATTCCATGGTATATTAGATCAACAGACATACATAGAGATCTTAGGATTGACTCAGTGAAAAAATATATCAGAGACAGAGCTCTAAAATTATTCATTAAAATTGATACGCTACTTAACCTCGCCCTAACAATCCTCAAGTCCACTTCTAGACTCTCAGGAAGATATGCTGTCTTAAGGTCAGTCATCAACTAAAAGACAAATAAATGATATGATTTCTTAGCTTAGTTAAAGCCTAGTGTGGGGTAGTGATAAGCCCCCAGCCATTATAGAGTAAAAGTGCGTAATAGCACTAACTCAAGAACAAGAAGAAGAAGAAATAGTACAAATCAGTACAATTTGTTTGCAATATCTTTAAATACAAATTTATTGAAACATATCTAAGCATATCAACCTCATCCTGGAGTATTTCCAGAAATGGAAAATAATAATCAATAATGAAAAAAGTAAGGCTCTGTTTATTACGTGTTAAAGGAGACAGAACCCGTCGAGAGTGAGAGTGGGAGACATGATAATAAACTGGGAGGATAGCGTTAAATATCTTGGCATCACGTTGAACAAACGATTTACATGGCTTAAACATATTCAACTGGAAAGAATTAGCTATGCCAAAATTCTTCATCACTTTCAACCGCTATTCAAAAATGAAAATCTTAATGCTAAGTACAGGAAACTAATATATAACAAAATAATTCTTTCGTCACTGTAGCTTTTAGCAAAGCCTCAAACGCTACTATTTGCCAATTTGAAATTGCACAAAGCCAGGCTCTGAGAAGACTTTTCAAGGTACCATGGTACATTAGGAAGAATGACATCCTCAGGGATCTCAAGATTAATACGACCAAAATATATCCCTGAAACTATTTACAAAAACTATCAGGATTACCAACGTTATAGAACCTCAAAATGGTTACAGACTTCTCGGGGAGGTACGCAGATCTGTGGTCAATTATTGTTTAGTCTGAAGAAGTGATAAACAACAATCCAATAAAGGCGTAGAGAGGGGTGGTTTTCAATATTGTTAACACATCTTCATTTATTTGTCTTTATCGTTTGTGACACTTCGCTTACTAAGTCATTTGTGAGATTAATTGGTGCTAATCTTAATAATATCAACTACTCTACCTATATTCTATTATTGGCATATCCCTGAAAATGTTGGAAATATGCTTAGATCCCAAATATTATTTTGAGGTAATTGAAATTTTTAACATTCTGATATCTGAGAATTCTGGTTTTGTGTATTTCATTAGAGCAGTCTATATTTAATGTTTGAAACCATATTGTGTTTAAGCAATTGTGTTTATACGTGTTTGCATAAACCGAAACAGAAATAAAACACAGAAATGTATAAATAGAATGTAGATTCAACATTTTCATCCAACTAAATGTTCTCGAGAAGCTGAATGTTCTTGAAGAGTTTGGTTGTAAATATTTTAATCCAAGTATAACTGAACGGTTCTACCCTCGTTCAACTGAAACAGTTTAA